AAGGAGAAAACCCCTCAGAAGTGACCCCCCCCTAAATGAGCCCCCGATCCCAGAGAAACCGCCCCAAAAACGCTCCAAAAAAAACCCTGACTCCATCCACCTGTAACAATTCCTTTATTGGGGTTTCCTTTTTCTGATTTTACACCCTAAAAAAATCTTTCCTGGGGCTTCCTTTTCCTGACGCCACCACTTCCAAAAAAAAAACCCCAAAAATTTTTCCCAACTCCTCAAATTCTCCCACTTCGTTTTTCCCCTCCATCCCCTTCTTTGCCCCCCAAACCCCCCTTTTTCACCCCAAATTCGCCCCCTGAACCCCCATTTTTCCCCCCAGGACTTCGTTCTTTACGTCATGACCCGTCCCCAGCACATCTTCGGCCGCCCCGAGCGCCGGGGGGGTCCCGACAAACCGGGGGGGTGCCCCGAAACCCCCCCGCCGACCCCCGAAACCCCCGACGTGCCCCAGAAATCTGATTCGGGGCCGTTTTCGGTGGTCGACACCTTCCTGAACGCCCCCGACATCCTCCCCCGCCACTGCCTCGTGCAGGCCGCCCCCGGGGGAGGGGGCGATCCCGGAGGGGACCCCCCCTCCGCCACCGTGCGGCCTTTTCGGGGCGCCCCCGCCACCCTAAACGGGTCCCCGCTGCTTCGCCGAGCGTCCCTAAACCCAGGCGACCTTTTGGGGCTGGGGGAGCACATCCTGCTGCTCTACAAAGACCCCCGGGTTGGGGAGGGGGCCAGACCCCCGTGGGTGCCGCCCCCTCGCGCCTCCCTGGGGATCCTGGGTGTTTTGGGGTGCGCGGGGTGCGGGAGGAGCCCCCGGGAGAGGCGGGACGTGCTCAGGGGGGCTCTGGAGTCCCCAAAAGCCGAGCTCCGGTACCGCCCCCAGGACGAGGGGACGCTGCTCAGGGACATCCTAAACATGGATTTGGGCGGTGGCCCCGGCGGGGACTCAGGGGAGGGGTCCCCGGGGGGGGATTCGGGGGGAGATCCCGGCGAGGATTTGGGGGCTCTGGCCCCCGCTTTCCTCCTGGGGCTGTGCCTGGACCACGCAGCTCGCGAGTTCCCGGCGGGACATTTCCCGGAGCTGCTGGGCAGGGTGGCTGCCATGCTGCGGGAGACGGTCTGGGTGAGCGGGGGGGACATCGGGGACATCGGGGGGACATCGGGGACATCGGGG